TCAGCCAAACACGATCTGAAACACAAACAAAAAAAATCTAATCATCGGATATCCAAAATTTAAGATCGACATAGCGGGTAAATGCATTTCTATGACCACGCAAAAAATATAATAAGTCGTTAATCCAACGTATCTCAAATCCTAGAACTTTTCCGATTTCTTTAATCACACCAAGACACCTTCTACAATAAAAAATCATAGAATTCATCATTGCGAAACAGAAACGGCATTTCTACTCTTAAATGCGCATATGTACCCTCAAAACGATCTAACGCTTCGTCTGCATTTTGAATATACGGCTGGTTCAATAAATACAAAGCATCAATGGTTTAATGAAATAAAGCAATTCGTGTTCTATTAGTACATTGTTCAGCAGAATAAGCCCATTTGGTGAGGCCGCAGATAGGTAAACTTCGAATATCTTGCAGGCATTTTCTAAAATTAAAAAGAAACACCTAAGGATTGCAGTACACGATTTTCTAAATATAAAATTTTATGCAACACCCTTTTTCCCGCATATAATTGAAAAATTTGTTTTCTTTCTAATTCAAAATCTACAACTTCATTTCTATCTAACTTCGCTTGTCCTTCAATCGTGACCCCCTCCACCATGAGTCTCATGCAATGTGAGCAGGGAAAATGTTCGCTAAACCATACCCACAAAGCAGAATGACACAGCTTGCGAGTTTTTAGTGCTTGTAAGGTTTTTCTGTGCAAGAAATACAAGGATACAAAACATTCATTGTACGCTCTTCGGCGTTTTTGTCTACAAACTTTCCTTGTAATTTCAAGCGCCGTCCGTCTAAGGTTAAACGATTTTGTGTAACTCTTTTACATTGCAAACAGGTAGAATTGTCTCTTGTTGCATGCATCCATTTCGTTTTTCGGCAATACGTTAACTCTTTTAGCTGCTTGAGCCCGTTTACAACATTTCTAAAACAAGAAAAAACTAACATTCAACAAGTGTGTCTAAAAACACGTTTTTCGTTCTAACATCATAAGATACACTTTGGTCTTGACGCTCAACCACTCTACATCTTTGATCCAAAAGAGCGAATCTAATACTTGTCTAAGAATGCAACATTACTGGGGTAAATGTTTTGACAGCATACTATGCTTTGATGAAACGGAATTCTTTGACCACATACCTGAACTTGATGCGATGGTGTTGGCGAAATTTGTTCAGTTGTTCTTCATAATCTCTTGCTTCAAGTTGTTTGGCAGGCGGATGCCAAGGCACCAGGAAGGTTCTGGCCATCAGTGCTGGATTAGGTACGGCTTGTAAGGCAAGTTCTGGAAGAGCTTTCATCATGCTGGAAAAGTGCTTCCGCTTCGTTCGAAGGTTGTCGAATAACTGATGAAAAAGCATGTGTAAGGTATTACCTTAAACACGGTCTGTTGCTATGACGATGTGACGTAATAAACGGTGATTGGTGCGGTTTGAGGTAGGATTAATCTAAGTGCAAATGAGCGGCTTTTTTGAGCCGGCTTGCAAGTAATTACTTCGCTCTCTTTTGACTTTAATGAAACATGACCCCCTTTTTCAAGTTTTGCGACAGCCCCGTTTTAAAAAGACTAAAATTTTTTTTTTTCATTTTCAACCATGGCGAGCCCATTTGAAACATGCGATACCATCCTGATGCAAGAACAAGCAGATCACATTAATGAACTACATGTTTTTATCACCGAACATCCATGAACCTCAAAGTTTTGGTTGACGTTCAACGTATCGTCCACTTTAGCCGATTTGTCCACGAAAACCTGGGAAGAGGACAATGAAGATGTTGAACTTTTAGAAGACGGCTGGAAAAAAGGACATGGGCATTATTACTTATACGTATTCGCTGTCCACAAAACGATTGGGAGGGATCCTGAAGGTTTTCCCTCGAAACACATCGCTTTTCGTTACTCCAAAAAACATGAGGGTAATAATTGGGAAATTGTAACAGCTTACCCTTTCACGCGCACATACCATACAATATTTTTAAGTAAGTGCAAACCGTGGTTACGTTAGTCCTTCATTGTAAGAACTCAAAACCAAAGAGCTCTTTTAGGAGCCAACAGCTGACTAAAAGTCATGACCAATACTCAGAGTACCACGCGCAATAAACCCTGCACGTGCTTGCTGACTCAGCGAATTTACATGTTCTTTGTCTTTTTCTAGACTAACATTAGCATACGAAACCACTGACTGGAACGGGTAGCTTATAAAATAAAACGCGTCTTAACTTAGATTATTCAACAGAGTCAACATGTCTCACAAGTTACTACTTCATTCTGCTAGAGCAAAAGCTTTCCAGCGCCCGATGAGAACAGAAGGCACGAAGCCTCACATCTGCCTCCTGTCTTCTTTTGGTCCCGTGGTTTGCAAAATGTTTATGACTGATTCATTCCAGACAATGTTGGAGCATGATCCGAATCTGAAGATCATGATTCCGCCTGATAAAGTAATGAATCGTCTGAATGCTGTGAAGAAGAGGATTGTTCTTTTCATCTGCTACGGTGTGATGGACTATTGCGCTGTAAGCTTTATTCATCCATATGCTGACTACCAAGTAACCAATGAAGCAGACTACAACGTAACATATCAACAGAATCGACCTGCATTCATGCTATCCAAGTTTCATTGAAAGGGCAATCACAAAGAACAAACGGCTCTTTTAGGAGCCACCACTTGAATAAAAGTTATTACCAATACTCAGAAAGACTTGGTAGTATAGTGGCTTAGTATTCCTGCTTGTCACGCACGCGGCCAGGGTTTGAATCCCCGCCAAGTCGACACATAACAGTGATCTATGTTCTTTATGATCATAGACTTCTGTTGTGTACTTTATTTTTTCTTCTTCTTTCGGCCGTGAATATGTTTAGCATACAGCATTGACATTAGTAGGGGCGCCAGTTATTTAAATTCGAAGCTAACCGGTTCAAATGCTCTTTGTTTCTTTCAGGTCCCTTTATTGTAAAAATGGAGCCACATAGTTTCGATCTCTGAACCTCTCGCTTGCAAAGTGAGCACTCTACCAATTGAGCTATAGCCCCGTTCGTGTTACGATACCTTTATTTTTCACTAAATATCCGTTTCTACAACAAGTTGACTTCCTGCACATTTTGACCGAGGACACTTTGTGATCTACTACTTCATGACCTGCAACCCTAGAGGACATTTCGTGACTATGACATGAAGTACTAAGTGCCCCAGTTAAGCAAGCAATACTACTTACACTCCTCCTCTTCATTGTCTTCCTTGTAACTGAGACATTTTAGGTTTGTCTTACTGACATATTTGCTTCGACATTTTCCGTGATACTTCCCTTCTTTCGCTATCAAATCAAGGCCTTTGATATTTAAAAGCAATTGCTGGTCATCACAAGCAATGGCAGCGTCTACAATCACTTGACAAGAATCAAAGCTGGAAACACTTATAAGCTCTTTTACGCCCTTGTACTTCTTTCTTTAGTTCATGAGCTCAGTAAAATAATCAACTAATCAACTATGAAAAATCTTTTAACCTACACCTAGCACGTCAACAATAAAAAAAAATGTGTTTAACGCGATTAAAAGTAGCAAAATGGAAGCAAAAAAAACAAATAATTCTTACCTTTTGAAGATTTGTCATTCCCGCAGTTAAAATGGCCAATGCTACTCGCAAAGCAATTCGGGATATGCATCAAAGGCATCATGGGAATGAAAAGGGCGCATGGATAAGAAATCAACTCAAGAGGATTTGCAGAAAAAACAACCCACATAAAAGTTGATTGTAAAAGCTTTAAGAGCTTTACCGCAAATTACACAAAATCTAAGTAACTAAAAAATTAAGTATTTCAATAATTTTGTATTAAATTTTCGGTACAATACTCATGAAACGAAGCAAACACCCATTCAAGACACAGAGATAATAATAACGTCAAATATAACAATACCGTTTCAAAAAATATGTATTTGTATCCAAGATCTTTACCAAAGATTCTGCAGTGATTAACATTTCTAGACACACGAAAAAAAAACACCTGTAAAAACTTGTTTGTGTTGATACTGTATTACATTTTAGCCAAATGACTGTATCTTTAGGCATATGAGGAAAAAGGTTTAAGGGAGTCATTCAGGATTCCTCAAACCGGTAAAAAAACTTACTTCATTTTGTATTAACTTTTGTTTTAAATTGCTTTACTTAACCCACATCTCTGTTCCATCTTCTTTGAAAGGGGTATTGCTTACAAAAACGCATCTTCGCAACCGTTGCCATGGAAACAAGGATAATTTTGCGAAAATGTTTTAAAATGAAAGAGCTTATAAAGTTACATGACTTCCCATAGTTTCATCGTTGAACAATGTTTAGTCTTTAAGATATGATTTTTCAAAGGTTTCAATTGGTAACAATAGGAAAATAGCGTTTAGAGGCAGTTATGACAACTTTCATGATTCGTTACAAGACAATGGAATGGTTTGATTTGCAAATTTGTAAAAAATTTATACAAACGGTTCTCGAGAATCAGTAAATATCAGTTGTAAGCACATTCTAAGTACATCGGCAATGTATATTTGTCGCGGAAGTCAAAACATCTGTTATTATTGACGTTAGACCCCATGGACAGAGTTTCCTTATAAACCGTTACCATGGCAATGCAAAAAAAGCACAAAATACATCTGACATTGTAGCTCTTATGGATTAACACGCGTTGACCAAATACTAATCCATTTGCCTGATTAATTAAAAAGATCTGATTTTTCAAAGTTTTGACCCTATACGAAAATGCTGAACTTTGATTCTTCAAAATACCCCCCACCATAAAAGTCATCGAGGTAAATGTCCGCCAAGAAGCCTAATTGCGTGAACCAATGCACGACAGCCTGAGTAGTGCGGTGACAGATCATAGCAGAGGTCTTCAGACCAAATGGACAACGAGTATGAAAGTAGAGAAGGTTGTTAAAAGGAAATCCCAGCAGATGATAGTCTTTGGGATCGATGGGTATTTTGACGATAGGCATGTTGAAGGTCGAGTTTATACAGAAGGCAACCTGGGCCTAGCTGCAGGAAGAACTCGCACAACCGATCAATGCCTGGGAGGCGAAGTTTGTAGGGCTCGTTGAGATAAGAAGAATCTGGAATACCAATGTTCACTGAAGCGTGTGGGGGAGAACTTAAATCCATGACCACGCGACGTTTAGAAGACCCATGCTTGGGCACAGTTTGTAGTGGGCAACAGATCAAAGGCTGGGGAAAGGGATTGTTGCGAAAAGGACCGGCGATCACGTGATAACGAAGTTCTGTGGTAACATAATGTTGCACGTGGTCGGCGTATGAAATTGCTGATGAGTGATTCTTATCGGTGGAAATAGGAAGTTGATTTGCGGTATAATTGACAGGCCAGCCGTAGCGTAGAAAGTCTACAATTTGATGATCGTGGTAGTCTAGTAATTTAGATTCCCTAGCGGTAATGTTCAGAGGGGTCAGTACCAGTATTCTAGCGCCAAAGGCATTCGGAAGGCCATGTTTCGACAATAATATGTTGAATAACAGGAGTTACAAATTGTTGATAGTCGATTGACGTCCCGGGAGCAGGTAAAGAGGAGAGATTTTTGGGCTTCCTCGCCACTTTCATTTGCTTTTGTGTAACTGTCTTGTTTTATCGTTATTTGTATTTTGTGGTAAATCAAATAAAGTTACAAAGTTACTCGTTATATTGGGCCTAAGTTGACTGGGACGGAGATCTGAATGCTTGAAAAAGGTATTGGCTTTTTCGCGAATTTCCGAAAGGCTGGTCCATTCCAAGTGCCACAACTCCACCTGTTTGGCGATGTAACCATGGAATGAACGAACACTTGACCACGAGTAGCTGGAGGCCTTTGACATGAGGAGTTCTAACAATTCTAACATGGCTGATTTAAGAGGCGCGTCGTAAGACTTATCATCGACAAAAAACCTCCAACGAAATCGGGTAGCTCTAATTTATCGGAATCAACAAAGTTACCTGGGGTGAATTCGTGCGGCCAGTCCACTGTTCTTTTCTTGCGTGTCTTTTCAGAGGTAGGTTGCGTGCCGGAATTCTCTGTATTCACATCTGCCCTGCTATCAACTTGGTGAAGTCGCAAAACTTCAAGTTCAAGAGCCAGCTTTTGGTTTTGGGCCTCAGTTAGGAGGATTTCCACTTCTGCTAGAAGGACGAATATGGTCTGCGGTAGCTGAAGAAGCACGATGAGCAGAAGGCGAGCTCTTTTCTGCCTCAGCCGCACCCTGCTTGGTGATCGCCGGCTGAAGGAATTCTTGATCTGGGAAGTTAAAATCTTGCCACTGTCCCGGCAGCTCAGGGTAAACAAAATCAGCATCTTTCTTTGATGACTTTTGACGTGTGGAGCGTTGGACGGGTTGACTAGAAGAATGTTGGTGTGCCATTGAGAAGGATGAGATTGGTCTGAGCTAAACGAAAACTGAAAACCGTGAGCTAAGAGCGAATGACTGACTTGTCGTGACAAACCGAGCGCTAAATCAAAGATAGTTATCACGCATCAATTATCCATCATCACCTGGGTAATGATGTAACCCCCCCTCAGAAATCGCAGCATACCAAGTCACTGACCCCACAATTTGTAGATCCGAATGTCAAATAAGTGATCTGTGGGTATTTGGTTATCTGAATCTGTTGTCAAACCTTTTGTGTGGTGGGGGTGCAACGATGTATTTTTTCCAGCCTCTGCTCCTCGACTATAAATTATTATTTTAAATCAACTGCTCATATGTTTTTCGTCTAAGTTTTTATTTCTTTTGTCCTGAAATATCTTATTGACAAAGGCGGGCGTAGTGAGAAATGCCTTGAAAACTGTGATCCTTTACTGTCTCACAAATATTGCTTTACTTAGCGTGCAGAGGAAGGGGTTTAGGAAAAGCGCATGTTTCTTTTAGGCTATTGAGTTTTGTTCATAAGTTGGCCAACGGACAGTGAAGTTGTTAGGGGAATTTAAATTGCAAAATAATTGCTGTCAATCCTGCTCATCAAAAATTTAACAGGCTACTTAAAAATGACTCTGGCTAGTACAAGATAGTTACAGCTTGTCTAAATGGCAAGCTGTCAAAAACTTGACTTCCTTTGCACCCTCTTTACTGACAGTTAAAATGACCACTCGACCAGTCTTAAGATGTCACTTGCCCATAATAATCTGTTGTTCAAAATAAAATATTATTTCAAATCAACAGTTCAATTTTTTCATTTCTACTGTAATATCTTGTTAACAAAAGTTCAGTATGAAAATGAAGAAATGATCGTCACAGTGAATGCAATTGCATAAAGAAGCCTGAAAGAAATTCAACACTGCAACGGGGTTTGAACCCGTGACCTCGCGATTTACCAGTGTGATGCTCTACCAACTAAGCCATGAAGCCACTGACGTTGGGAGCAGGTCGATTGTAGGTTCATAAGTTCCCGTGAAAGAAATGAGTGTTATAAATATATGAAATAAATTATATATGAACTGGGGAAATGAAATGAAATTGCGTTCACTGCGACAATCATTTCTTCATTTTCATTTCATTTCCGCAGTTCATATATGATATATTTCATGTATCGTTAACACTCATTTCTTTCACGAGAACATATGAACCCACAATTGACCTGCTCCCAATGTCAGTGGCTTCAGGGCTCAGTTGGTAGAGCATCGCACCAGTAAATCAGTGCTTAGGGTAACCCTATTAGAATGGAACTCAATAGATCCTTCTACACCCCTCTTTTTTTAATTTTTGATGCTAGCGAAGATCTGTCACCACTGGAAAGATTGATAGTCTGTGGACAGTCACACAGATGTATCTCCAAGTATGTTGGGTGAATAGACACAACGACTGAAAATACAGCTGTATTAACAGGCTACTAGAAAGAATGTCTTAAAAATTCAGTGAAGTTGCCTAGTTGAAGAGTGATTTGGTACAACCTAACAAAGACAGCTCTGCAAAGATGCCAAATTTTGCAGATGGGCTGAGCCCCATCGCTAAGGTAATCTACCCATCCCTGAAAATTTGGTAATGACGTGACCGTACAGCGACCGACCGCCCGCCGTCCGTCCACACCGCAGGCATACCAATGAATTTTGGGTAGTCTGTGTGCATAATAAGTTTTGTTTTGGTGCGAAAACGAATGGCCACCCGCGTTTTGTGAAGTAAAAACAACTTAGCCCAGCGAAATCAACTCAGAACAAGAGAAATTTTTCGTATCGGTTGGCGGAAATTGTTTTTACATCCGTATTTTCTACATATTTTATCAACTGTCCTCTAGTTTGGAATATAGAGATAGAGAGAGGCAAAGAAAACGAGAAAGTAGGCGGCAAGCAAGCCAAGCTCAACAAGAGCGAGAGCGGCAGAGAGCCAGAGAAAGGAGGCAAAATTTTACTGACGAGCCGTTCGTTCCTGCTAGACGTGTGTGCCAATCGTCGATCACCATTCTTTCCCCGCCCCCTTCCCCGCCTTCTTTTCACTTGGCCCAGCTTCTTGCGTTTTTGAGACTTTTGTAAAATGCATCTCCTTTATGCTAGCTGGAGATCTTACATCATTTCACAGGGAGGCTGTCAGTTGTTTTATTTCTAAGCTCGGAAAGGATGCACTTAGGCCTGTGTGTGAGAAGGTAGGAAACTTATAACGTATTGTATTTTGAGCTGCGTATTTAAATGTCATTTATGTCATGTAAGGGCAACGTTTGTTTCGGTATTGTCCAACTAAAAAAGGGAGATTTCAGGACAATAAACATAAAATGGACGCAGGAAATATTTACCGATAACTCGAGGTTTCCATCCAAAACAGGAAGGTCGGAATTTCTGTTAACATCAAGCGCTCACTTTATTAAAGTGGGTATGATTGTTATGGTTTCCTCCACAGAATAACACAATAGGCCACTTGCGGAGGTAAGAGGTCACGTGACCAATAGTTCCTTTAACCAATGAGTTGGAATCTTACTGATTCCAACAATTGACAGAACACATAACAATTATCTCACACCCGAAATTTGAGAGGAAACGCATTTGAGGGAGATATTTTATGGAACTTTGCTTTTTCAACAAAGTAGTATGATTTCTGTTGGTCGCCATGTTGTTTTGAAGGAAGATCATTTTACTCCTTTTGTGGTGTGTCCATCGAAAATACTAGAGAGCAAACTTACTCAGTCGCCTGCTGGTGACTGGTGACATTCTGGTAGCCACATCTAAATGATCTGCATTGGTTATCAAGTCATATCGCATTGTGTCAGAGACGTCAGAAAAACCTTTTCCAAGGAATTGAAAACAAACTTAGTGTGAAGCATACATGTACAAATACTATGTGGTGCTTCATATGACATCGAATGACTGGGTAGTTTATAAATGAATCAAGTCAAAAATTATGGGGAAAAAAATGTAACATTGACATTTCATTTTGTGATGAGAGCAAGTTGTTATTTGTTACTGATGTTGAGAGGATACACACTATTATTATATAAACACCAATGAAATACCAGGTGAGCTTTCACCCGAAAACATGATATCTTCACACGTCAAAATATCATGTTATTTTCCCATGTGAAAATATCACTGTTGCTATGGCTACATAATAAATCGTGCCTTTCGCAGGATAAAACTGTTTCAGTGAAATGGTTTGGTATTTCATTGGTGTTTATATAATAAAATAAATAATAGAACATTACATGGCCACTTGGAGATACAAAATTTCTCTTCTCGTGTTGAAAATATTTCACTCGTTTGCTCTGCTCACTCGTGAAATATTTTTCAACATTCGAAGATAAATTTCGTATCTCCATGCGGCCATGTAATATCCTCTATTTATTCAATAAATCGGCATTCTTTAACTGCCCCTTTCTGAACATCTTATAATGGCTAAATCACATCATGGAGTCATGTATAATTATTACTTCTTCAGCCATGGTTGATTGCATATTACACCAAGTATACTACTTCCTGATACAACACTTATGGAAAATGACTGGGTTTGACTTGCAATTGCATCTGAGGTGCAGAGACAGCCTTTAAAGTAAGAAACCGAAGTGAGATATTGCTCATACCATAGTTAATTGAGTGGAATGGTTATGAAACCCGTCAGACTCCTTTGTTATATGTTTTTGTGGACCTGAAAGTGCACAACGTTCAAAAGAATTCCTATCATTTTGATGGTATTGACCAATGAAAACGTTGCATTAATTTATTCCGTAACAATTTGCCAACAGAAAACAAAGGATTGTGCACTTTCACGGTACTTCCAACATAAACTGCAGCACTATTGTTCTTATCATTGATGTTTGCCGCTTTTCATAACCAGTCTCCTCTAATAACTATGCTCATACATAAAAATGGTTTTAGACAAGGTGGTGAATTGAAAGGAGTTTTGATGACCTAATAAAGATATCAACTGGTTTTCATGGACCTCAACCAAATTCAAGGTCTTATCAAGACAACTACTTAAATTCAAGACCTTTTGAAGAATTTGTATCGAACCATGACTACTTCTTCTTTGACGCTTTCTTGCTCGTAACAAGCACAATTGTTGTCTATGTA